ATATATATATATATGGGGGTGTGTGTGTGCGTGCGTGCGTGCGTGCAAATATATCGAAAAATAGGAAAAGAACACGTTAGGTAAATAATCCGGAGTTCTTTAGCACTTTTGTTTTTATTTTTAAAAAACAGTGCTCCATACAAAAGTAGAGCTTAAATTATAATTATTTTTTTTATAATTATTATTATTTTTTTATTTTAGGAATCATATTTAAAAAAATAATTATATATATATATATATATATATATATATATATATATATATATAGAGAGAGAGAGAGAGAGAGAGAGAGCTTATATATATATATATATACACTGATCTGTCTATCTATTTATAAAAATGAAAAGAGATAAAAGGAAAACTTATCTTAGACGAAGCGTTTCAGCTTCTGAGAGACTTTATCAAGGCATATATGCATATACACCCACACACATACATATATTAATGACAAAATGGAAAAAGCTTTTCGTCTGATGCGTTTCGTCCTTTAGGACTTCATTGGACTAAAATTTTGTTTACATTGATGTAACTACACATGCGCACAAAAGAGAGTCGACACTGATATTTTAAACTTTTAAATTCAGTTTTTTCTTATATTTGCTAAATTCAGTTTTTTCTTATATTTGTTTGGCTCTATAGTCTAGTCGATTTCATTTAGTTTCTTTTTCTTTTTGTTTATCTTTTCATTGGTTTTGTTATTACGTATCACACATAGTGATAATATAAGATGTACCAAGAAAGATAAAATTTTGTAAGAAGCTGGACGCAAATTTACTGAGCTTAAAGCACTTTCTGTCCACTTTCATCTCAGTAAATTAATTTCTCTTTTCATTAAAAAATCAAAATTATTTACAGAGATATTTGATATATATATATATATATATATATATATATATATATATATATATATATATAATCACCAACATACACACACATTTATCAAAATAAATTTAGAGATTTTTTTTCGTAACTTGTATTCATAAACGTTGAAACGCGTTTGGAGCTTTTGAAGTACACGAAATTTTTTAATGGATTTAAAAAAAAACTGAAAAAAAAACGTTATTATTTCTTGTATCTACAAACGTTATTTTTAGTGGGGACTCGTCTATTATCTTAAACTGATCTCAGTCTCTAGGCCGGGAGATTTCATTGTTTAAAACATCAACTCAAACAAGTGTACCTACTAGAAAATAACGTTTAAAGAAGAATGAAAAAAGTATATATACAAATATATTGGTATAATTATAGACGAACTGGACTCAGAATGATGAGGGAAAACATTTAAAGGTATAGACAGACAGTAGATTGCAATGGAGTGGTAAACTGATAGTCATCATGCAATGTGGATTCCTATGTTCACATTGTTTTTTCTTCTCCCTTCTCTCTAAAAACATTAGATAATACATTTTGGTCAATCTAATAAACACACAGATACATACACACGGAATGAACTTTTTCGTTTTCCATTTGATGAAGCTCAAATGGGCGAAATACATTATCGGATATTTGTTTGAAACATTATACTTTCATGAACGTTTTTCCAATTGTCATTTAATGTATAACTTTGTTGGGATCATTTATATATACATGCAAATATATATATATGTATATATTAAGACATTCTTTTTATACATACAAATATTTAAGTAAATGCTCTGTTTATAATAAACCTTATTAATAACATTTACATTTCTGACCATGAGACCCGGGTTCGAATCTCACCATGGTCGATTATCGGGAATGTTGATCGGCTCAAGGTCGATCCCAACGTTTGGCACCTTTGGAAAGTGTCTGAAAACCATACCACGGGTTGACCCAAGCCCTGTGAGTGAAATTAGGTAGACGGAACTCTTGTGGGCCGTCGATAGCTGTGCTAGCAGGAAGCCAAAAGACATTGTGGCCCAGGGCTTGAGCATGTTGGCCTTGTTCAAATTGTTGATCATTCTAGATAACATGCTCTCTCCCAGAAACTGTAACTAAGGTCTGCTTAGCATAGTTGCAGAATAAACCATAGTTGGGCTCTGTGGGTGTTAAGTAAACACAAATGTACCTGAGCAAGTGTCTGCAATAGGGATTGGCTAGCTGCCCTAGTAGACGGGTATCCCCGAATACGAGTAGCCAGCTATTATATATATAAATATATATATATATATTATATATATTATGCAGATATATATATATATATATATATATATATATATATATATATATATATATATATATAAGCATAATATTTTTTAAATTTTTACCAATTTACAAAGAGTTTCATGCCTGTTAGCAAATTAGACGCTCCCGACATCAAACGTTCTTTTTACGTTTTCAAAAAGAATAAGTCATCATGACTACATTTGGAAATAATTCCATTTCTTTTCATCTCGGGAGCGTCCAAGATAAATAAGCGCTCATCTGGAAAAATTACTATGCATGGATAAAGCTGTAAACAGATAATTAAATCAAAATGTTAATTTCAGCATATTAAAAAGCTCCTTTAAAAGTACCTCACCAATTCACTGACAAAAGAGTATACCATGCTGAAAAAATGCCTCAAACTTGATAAAAACAAAGTTTTATCGTCGAAATGTTTGTTTTTATTAAGAGGAAAGACTAAAATATTTTGTGATTATTCAATTAAATTTGGTTAAAAATTTCGTTTTTCTTATGTCTGCGGGTGTACCAAATTTTAACGTTTTTTATGGTAAAAAACACATTGCTTTGGAAATTCTTGCAAAAATCAAATAACTCTCGAAATTTAATGAAACTTTCAAGACTTATTCACAAACAAATGAAATTATTTTTGAAATCTTTTTTTCAGAAATTTTAGTAATATATATATATATATATATATATATATATATATATATATATGTATGTATGTATGTATGTATGTATGTATGTATTACATCTGTTACCCCAAAGTAGTTAATTTTAGGAAATTTCCAGTAATTAAATTTTCACCCCCTTTATATTTATATTAGTTAAAAGTAGAAGAATTTGAATTATTATTTTCTTTTGTAGAACAGAAACAGCATTCACTGAATGAATAAATAGAAAAATTTTAATTACTTTTATAATTAAGATATTTTAAGGAGACTATTATCTTAAGAAAAAATATTTTAGATGAATAATGTATTTTTACACGGATTTTTTCTTTTCTTTTTAATTCTAATTAGAATAATTTATTAAGTTTTAAATCTTTAAAAATTATGCATTATTTCACCTTTTTAGATGGCATTATTAAACAAAAACTATATTTACTAATCATAATTTGAAAAGCTTAGTACAATACATCAAAAACCAATATTTTTAAACGAATTTTAAATTTTCTTTGGAATTTTCTTATAAACGTACCGATTTCTACAGATGTACAACAGAACTTAAGCGCGATAACTGTAGCAAATTTAAAGCGAAACTATCTAAAATTCAATAAAACATTAGATTATGGAGAATATTTTCTTAAAATTTTAAGATTACTGAGTAGTTAAAAATTATATATAAAAGGCGCTCACGTTATAATCGTCAATTATTTTTTTTACAGATAAAGCCTCCGTAGAAAAATATTAGATAAACATCCACCTGTCATCAAGGTGTCAGCACGTCAACAGCTTAAATAAAAATTTAAACTTAAATTAAATAATATTGGTTTTAATCAGATTAATTATAATTTAAATCAGTTACTTTTGGAAAATTTTTCGATAAACGAGGCCTAAAAACTGGCGCTGAAATCATATTTCCAGTCAATTTAAACATTTTTCTCTGAAATTTTTTTATAACACACATGAAAAATAGTTAATGTTTTGTTAATTTTTAATGGAGTTCTTATTTTCGCACAAGAGATCGGTTGATTGAGTCGAGGTTTTGAGAAATTTTCCACGATTTTTTTTTCGTCGGTTTTCTCGCTTTCTAGCATTCTCTGGTTATCCCAAAATATAGGTGTGATTTGTCAAGAGCAGGTGACATGATGAAATTACTTATCTTCTGAAAAATAACACACACACACACACACACACACACACATATATATATTGATGCATGTTTCATTAAATAATATAGACAAGTTTTGTCTATTGATGTGTAAATTCTTTTTATATCGTCTGATAAGCTTAATAACATCATTAAAAGAAAAAGAAAATCACAATATTGATACACATATTTTTTGAATCCTTATTATTTAATCCTTTTTCTTTATATATATATATATATATATATATATATATATATATATATATATATATATATATATATATATATTGAACAATAAGAAAATAAAAAAAATTAAAAAATTAAAATCTTTAGACACACTGGGTTGTAAATTAATATTCTTTCGTTTTTTTTTTTATTATTATTCCATTTAGATTCCTCGACTAGTTTCGACCGATATATATATATATATATATATATATATATATATATATATATATATATATATATATATATATAATATATATATATATATATATATATAACTATTGTGTATTGAACTCACACTCTTTGAGTCCTTTATCCACTGTCTATTCAAGTATGGGCAAGTATGGGCATCCACTAAAATTAACATTTAAAGTGGCAGATATTTAACCAGTTGTTTTAAATTCTTTTATACATACCACAAATTCAAACGCTTAACAAGTTTCCCATTCGAAGTGACATTCAAACTTGAATTAACACTCGGATTATTTGCCCCTAATTTACTTATTTTGCGAATGTCATTAGGCATGCAATTTTAAGCAATAAACAGTCAAATCAGCGCTTGAAAAAATCTAATTATTTCAAACCGTTACACGTGTAAATTTAATTACACTTGGAACCGCTGATGCCTTGAAGCAATGAGCAGTCAACAACACTTAAATCTACGAAGAACGAACATGTAATTACCTTCGAAATTGATACGCACTAATCAAGCAGCACTTACGATTGATTGAAGACATAGCTTCGATGTCACTGACAAGGCAGCTGATACATCAGCTGACAAACACTTAATGGACATATAAACAAACACTTAAATCATGTTGCACAACTCTAACTGCAGATTAGCAACCGTTGTGTCTCTTCAATTGAACAATGGCTGCGTAGAATCGAGTGATTGGACGAGGTCATTTTCCTGCCTGCCCTGCATCAACCAGCAACGCGTCTTCTTCCCCACACCAAGTAACATCCGTAGCGTCAAGTTAAACACGTCTCATCCCTACATAGATTTTTTTATTTCTTTTTTTTTTTTTTTTTTACCGTGTTCTCTTCTCATTCCTTCATCACTTCTTTTCGATTCATTATTGTAATTCTTTCTGTTCATTGTCATAATCTCAGTTTTAATTAAACAGTTTTCTCTCTCTCTCTTTTTTCTCTTTCTCCCTTTTCATTGCTTTCTTTCTCTATTTCTCTCTTTCCCTATTTTTATAGTTTTTCACCTTTTTCTTTTCTCCCTTTTCACTTTCTCTCCTCTTTCTTTGCTCACTTCCCCGTTCCCCCTTTTCTCATTCTCTCTTTCTTTCTCATTTCTCTCTCTATTTTTTTCTTTTTATCTTTATCGTTGTATCTGTTTCTCTCTTTATCTCTTTATCATTCCCTCTATTCCCCTTTTCTCTATCTCTATCTCTCCGTTCTCTCTTTTTTTTTTTCGTTTTTCCTCTTGCTGTCATTCTTTCTTCCTTTTCTCTGTTTTCTCCTTTTCGCATTTTCTCCTTTTGTCTCTCTTTCTTTCCGACCTTTTCTCTTGTTTCCTTTCTTATCATTCTCTCTTTCATTCATTTCTCACTTCCAATCCGACCTTTCTATCTCTCCTATCTGCTTCTTTTCTTATTTTAATTACCACATCTACATATGAATAAGTCGTATCTTAAGATCAACTTTTCATTCAAATATTCGAGTGGGATGGGGGGAGCGCGGACAATACACAAGTAAAAATTTGCTTTGAGTGTGAATCTATGAATGATAGGAACGGAACGACTGAGAATAATAGTATTCAATAGAAACAAAAAGACGTCTTACAGCATATACTCGTGTATGTGTCGAGTATTTAGACTAATTTTGGGACTTAACAGCATTCTTCGTTCGTTTCCCATGGCATTTTTTTGATAGTAGGTGTGCAAGGCCAAGTAATTCCACTTCATGGAATTTTCCAAATTATAAAATCTTTAATGACTTTGCTGTTTCGATCTCATTGAAATAGTTTTATTATAAACAAATTCAAATCTTCCACATTTATCCATGTTAATCTCAAGGCTTCGACTGTTCCCATAACGGCATAGGTTACATATTCATTAAAGATAACTTGATCTTACAATTCTTCTTCTTTATGTGCCGTGTCCCCTCAGGGCATAGGCGCACATGGCTCTCCACAATTTCCTGTTCCTGGTAGCTCTTAATAAATTTTGTCTTTCTTATATCTCCTAAACCCTGGTTCGCCATTCATTTAATCAAGGTTACTAAGTATGTTATGCGTTGTTTTCCTATGTCCCTCTCTTGCTTTCCATCTGTCTTATGAGTATCAGATTTTTCAAGCCTTCTTTTCTCATTGTGCCTAAAAAATTTCAACTGTCTCTTTCTGATGTTAAATATAATTTTCTTTTTTGTTTTCATTTTCTTTAAAACTTCGTCTATGCTCACATGTTCCGTCCATAGTATCCTCAACATCCTTCTGTAGAACCACAACTGATGCTTCAAGTTTCGTCTTCATCTTTCAGGGGATTGTCCAGTATCCGCTGCCATATAGGAGGACTGATATCATGGTAACAGTTCAGTATTCTTTTCTTTGTTTCTAACCTAATTTTTCGGTTTCTTAATACTTTGCTTATCTTTTAGAATGCATATTTGGCTATCCAAATACACTGTCCCACTTTCCATCTTCTGTTAAAAACACTTTCCAGATCTTTTTTTGCACCTGTTTGATTTTGGTATCTCTGATTTGAAATTCATAATCTGGAATCATCCTTTTGCTAACAGCCTTGCATTTTGTCTTCTTGCAGGATTTCTTTGTAGTTTTCTTTCCGTGTCTGTTATCAACACCATGTCATCTGCAAATCTTATGTTGTTAAGGTCTTAAAACCGAAAGGAAAAAAGACGTCTACGTGGTAAGGTATTGTAATATTTGTTATTGAAGCGGAGAAGCCCGACTGAAATTCGTCTGTATTTTCTTGTGAAGAAGAAAATTAAATGATAAATTACAGTATTTAGTCGTGCATAAGAAGTCATTTTTTGACCAAGTTTCAAGATAGCAGCTGAAAGCACTCGATGGTAAACGTTTGCTTAAATTGAAATCCGTGGATAATGGAAAGGTCTAGAAATATCCTTAAGCTTCACGCATGAAATATATTCATTTCAATAAAAATGTTTTCAATCATATTTAATCTTGAATTCAAGTTTATCATAACATCCGAATTTGTCCGGACATATCTTTCATTTTGGTTTCACGGTCATGGCCAAAGTGTGCAGTATGTCAAATGATGCATTGGCATTTATAGATGTTGCTAACATTTTCAGGATGTATTTATATACCCTGTGAATTTCACTTTATAATATCCATATATCCATTTTATTAGAATTATTTAAAATATCTTCTTAGGTGATATAAGTTGTTTTTATATTATTCGAGAGTTCTTTATCATCTATAAAATGGTTTAGGTATTGGTATTTATTTTTATAATGATTGCCATGGGTCATAAGAATTATATGACCTCAATACAGAAACAAGATATTGTCTTGTTATTGAGTGATGGGAACATTGGAAATTGCGAAAAAGCTTAACAGTGATCACAAAACAATAAAAAGGAAATTGAAAACGTTGGCGAGATAATAAAAGAAAAAAAAATGACTTCAATAATGTTGTAAAAAGATATTTGGAAAAAATTTAAAAGAAAAGAAGAAAGAAAAGTGGATACACCAGAAATAAAATATTTTAGATGCTGCTGCAAATATAAACAATGAAAAAGAGTAGAATAATGAGAACACCGGATAAAGACATGAAAATAACCAAACTAACACATATGAATAAACATCTGGGCGAAGAAGTACATGAAAACTGAATTCTTACCAGTAAGTTTTAGTGATTTTTTAGCTAAATGAAGTTAAATGTTCATTTCCTATTGCCTTAATAAAATTTGTGTCCATGAACCTCCACCTAAATACCCATTATGAGTGTGCGTGCATGTGTGCGTGTAGTGTAACTTCAACAGATAATAGCAAAAGGTCATGGCATTAAGTTGGCTGTGAGCATAATAGGGGTGTCAATAATTTTCACTTCACAAAGATTTTTCAAAATAGTCTTCTTCCTTGTTAATTAACTTAATTTAATAGTGAATTACATTATAAAGTATAAATCTCGTTTAAAATGTCAACTTATCACTATTTCCCAGTCTAGGGACTTATTTATCAACCCTTGTATACACATCTCTATCAGATATATAGATTTATGAAAAAATAGTAGAAAAGTTAAAGCATTAATCTTGATCATCTCGCGCTATCACTCTCACTCACTCACTCACTCACTCACTCTCTCTATCTTTATTACTTTTTGCGTTTTCCTTCATTTCCTCTTTTTATTGTTCTCTCTCTTTCTTTGGCTGAATTTTTCTTCTTTTCTGAGTTTTTCATTATTTTACTCACTCGATCTTAGACGCTGTTTTTCCACAATATTTTCCACCTCAAACGAATTCATTCTTTCAATCTTTCTTCACACGTTTTGAAATCACAATCTCTGTCTTTTATTTTCATTTCTTTAAGCGTCTCTCTCCATATTAAAATCCCTTCTCTGCTAGCCTTCTCCAGTACACACAAACTCACACACATACACAAACGCACACAATATCTCTCTTTTTTATTTGATTTTTCTCTCTAACATTTAGTCAATCCTTTTTTCACTCATTGTATTACTTACATATTTTCTATTTTGTCTCTCTCACTCTCCCTCATTATTTCTTTGACCTACTCTCTTCATTATACACGTTTCACTTGTCTTATTCCTGTTTTTTTCTTTTCGTTGACACTTTATTCTCAAACTTTTTCGACCCACCATTTTACCTCTTAACATGTCATTATTTCTTGTTGGCATTAATTAGTTCCCAATTTTCTTATTTTTATATATATATATATATATATATATATATATATATATATATATAGTTCTTTTTGTCTCTACACTGTTCTTTAGTTGCTTCTGCAACTTTATTTTCTTTCTTTTTCTGTCACTTTCTCTTTTATCTTTTTTTCAATCTCTTTATTCGACATTTCTTTCTTTCTCTCTCCTTGTTGTCTCGCTTTCCCTCAATGTCGTATACCACTTATTCCTTTTCTTTTATCTTATTACTTCTCATTCACTTTCCCTCTTTCGTCTCCATTCTCTTTCTGCTACACTTTCTGTATCTTTCTTCTCCTTCTCTCTGCCATTTTTGAGTGCCATTTCAGTAGATCTACTCTTAAGCACCCTATTCATTGCCGCCCCGTATACTGTTCAATTAAATCTCCGTCGCGACACTAATTGGAGAGTCGCAATCCCCGAGAAAAGACGAGACTAAAGTAAAGGTGAAGGTCACCAAATGAAACGATTGATTGAGTTTGGCGGGTGGGGGGTATTGTCCGGGAGCTTGGTGGGGAGTCGATTCAGGTAAATGAAGATGTCGGGGTGAAGAGAAAAAGAAGCGTACGCTTTTTCACTTTGCACACAACATTCAACGTTCCTTCGTCTTCAACTTTCGGATGCCGGAAGCTGTTTGCACATGCGCTCGATCGAGCGGCCACTTGACACAACGTGCCTCGCCATTATTGTTATTGCTGTTGTTGTTGTTACTCCTCTGGTTGTTGTGTATGTTTTTTTCTTTTCATGGTATTAACACTGAGTTCTGCTCGACATCCGGTCTGTGATGAAAGCGCTACATTCTATTTTGAGACAAGCTTTTTTTTCGTTAAGAAGCAAAATGAAGAGAGAGAGAGAGAGAGAGAGAGAGAGAGAGAGAGAGAGAGAGAGTGAGAGAGAGAGAGAGAGAGAATTATAGACTTTGGTTTGGCAGTAATTTTCTATACTCCTTCTACGTGGTGTGTTCTTTATGACCTGGGTGATTATGACCCTCCACAACTTTCTAACTAATGTAACCCTTAACAACATTTGTAATTTGCCAGAATTCCTGCTCCCGTTCCGCCATTCATTCACATATATTCGTCTGGTAGGTATTCCACCGCCTTCTACTTTCTCTTCTTGATATGCCGGGTGAGTGTCAAATTTTCTAAGCTTCCCTTCCTCATTACATGTCTAAAAAAATTTAGCTGTCTTTTTTCTGATTCTAAATGTCCTTTTTGTTTCAATCTTCTTTAAGATTTCTTCGTGGTTTACGTGCTCCTTCCATAAAATTTTCAGGATCTTTTGGTTGCCTCCAGTTTTCTCTTTATCTGTAAAGGAGATTGTCTAACATTCACTGCCATACAGCAAGATTGCTGTTATATAACAGGCGAAAATAGGAAAGTTTTGAATCCCAATCTTTTTCCCCCAAAAAATGATGCAATCTTTGTTTATACTCTACAAGGCTATTATTTTGCATAATGAAAGATAGACCAAGTGTTTTTAAGTAGTCATAGTAAAGACATCGTCTCTAATAACTAAAACTGGGATTGAATAGTATAGCTTTTGATGCAATCACCTATGGGTAGGTTCATTTATATCACCACAATCTTATCAGTATCACATTGTTTGGGACTTGTTTATGAGACAATATGAATTCACTTCATCAATTGTTCATAAGACAGTTTCTCAAATTTCTTTTTTATTCGCTTAAATATAAACTTCGGCAGTCTACACTCGATATTATGCCTTTTTGTATTTATATAATTTTATTATTAATTATTTGCCATTTCTAATTATAGTTACCATTAATTATTAGTAATAAGTGTAATTAAAATGTCGTCATTCTATGCAACTTCTATTGGAGAGAGTGCAAGTAGATGAATGAAAAGGCTTTGTAATTAGCAGTTAATAAGCCTGAAATTTTCCCCTTGGACAAATATTATTATCAATTGATACCTAATTGACTGAAAAGTATTCGAAAACTGGGTCTAGATTCAAGTGAACATTCCTTTACTGTTTAAGTTAGAACATTTTAACGGTATTGCACTGACACAAATTGCGCTACTACGTGTCGTTTTCTGTTATTTTAAGGTAACACACATAAACAAATATTGGGCCATTATGATAGTAATATAATAATCGCAAGCTAGAAATATTATCAATGTAATTTTATCTTTTATGAAGCCAGATGTAAGTTGTCCCTAGCCTGAACAGAATATAATGTTTAAGAGTTTTATAATTACATTGTTTGACATCTATGCGCTTATAGGGTTTTCTCTTTAGAATAGAAAGCAATTTTGCCGAGACAAATTTACTAGACGGAATAAATTGCCAATAGAGAATGTCCATCGATTATAACATTATGGTATTCGAATTCAAAGCTGAAATATTTTCATTATTGTTATTTTTTTTATTTCGGCCAGTTTTCCCTCATTTTAATGTTACTTTTATGATAACGTTCGGATAACATTAAAATCGGTAATGTAAAGTCTGAATAAAGTTTCGGAATAAAACAAAAACTTGGTTTCTCATCCCATCTGGGAGCCCATCTTATATGTGCGACGCCTTAATCGATTCTGCCAAAGAAATTAAATAAATTAAGTCAAATCTAGCGAGATATTTGATGTGTCCCTTCACAAAATAGAGAAACATAGTAAAATTTGGAAACTGTAAAAAAAAAAACTCTTCGAACATACAAAATAGAAATGAAAAGTAAGAGAAAATGACTAATTGTACGAAAACAAAATACATGGTCGTCAGCAAAAAAGCAACCCAAGGCCTGAGTTACATATTAGGGATGTCATAGGTTATTTAAAGCCGAAACATATTTGGGATCTTGCGACTAATTCTTTCATTTTGGAGAAAGGATATTGCATTAACCATTTTTTGAGGAGTGAGGGATAAAAATGATTTTCCAGATACAAGTCCTACTATTTAACCCATAGAAAGGGTACGTAGATGGATTAACCTCATATCAAAGTCAATATATATGTCAAGAAAGTCGAGCTTATATTTTATACTAAAAACAACGATATTATGAATCACAATGTACAATTTTAGGAGTTTTATTTTGAATGTTAACATGTCAGACTGTCAGGAAGTCGCGAAAAGTCACAATGATTTGGTCGACTGTGAAATCTGATTTGAAGAGTAATGTGTTAAATTAATGAATTGCCGAATGTTGGTTCTGTTTTTGTCAGTAGATGTCTTTTGAAAATTTTAATTTGAAATGTGCTATAATTAAAAAATGATCGATTTTCATTGCATTCTTACAGCTGTTATATCAGCGTACATTTATGAAAATATTATCACCTTTGGCGTATTGTTGTTTAATGATTCCAATTCGGAATTTTCAGTATCTTGAAATGCTATTCAAAGGAGAAAAAAAATTGTTCATTTTATGGAAAGTTTCTGTAAATGACGAACCATGTAAAAAGTTGTTTGTAAATTTTTGTATTAGAGTTGAACGATTCTCTATGGTCGGGTAGACAATTTAAGATTGATTTTAATCGCATCAAAATATTACTTGAGATAGCCAACATAGTAAAACAATAATAAAAAAAAAACACTGCAAAATTATTTGCATCTTTGGATTGCCATTAAATTCATATTTTGCAAAATATGAATGATTATAAATGTCCTTATGCTACACCAGACATTTGTTGTTCTAGATTCTGATTGAAGGCGCGCCTTAGCGTGTACATCTTTTGTTATGTTGAAGTAAGATGGGCTACAGCAAATATCCCTTTCTGTACCACAGATTTGCTTCTCAGTTGCCTGAACTTAACTTATTAGGCAGGTCCACTAGGGACTGAAGCTCTATGCAAAATCAGAAATAGTGGGGGAGAATCATGACTGGGTGATGAGTGTTTTTACTTTTAGTTTGAAGGATGAAGCAGACAAAGCGATTTGGAAGCCAAATCTCGATACTTGGGAACCTTTCGGAGCAGTCTGGATTACCCGACCTGAAAGTATTTCTAGCTGGGATCCACTTGCAAACTTATGCGCTTGTATAAGACCTTTTGCCATATCGCGCACATGTGGCTTCGATGTTCGTGCCTGGTATACCTTTATCAAACTGGGTATCATGATAGGTATATTAGACTTCGTACCCGAGAGTCACTTTGATGGTATGTTGCTCTCTCACTCATTCAATAATAATAATAATAATAATAATAATAATAATAATAATAATAATAATAATGATAATAATACTAATAATATAATAATTCTCATTGTGCTATATTTATATATTTCCAGTGTATTTATTTTTATATTTCCTGTTCCATCTGTAGTGGGAAGGGAGGTAAATTTATTTAAATTTGTGATTATTTCCCTTTGTCATTTTAATAATCTATACAGATAAAATATTTATCTGCATTTAAACAAAATTAGTTTCAGAGCGAAATGTACTATTTAATTAATCAGTTTCTTTACTCCGACGTTTCTTAGATTGAAATCTTATTTGTTCAAACCTTTCATGTGAGGCACTCAGATAAGATTGTCTATTAAGCCATCGTTTTGTTCAACTTGGTTTCGAAATAGACCTTGTCGTCGTCATCTATTTGTTTTTCCGAGGAATATTTTCATTTCCGTGTTATATTAAACACATCAAATATTTAGCACGAACAGATATTTAGCAAAAAGCGATTTATATAATACCAGGAATAATCAATGTGTCAGCGATACTATTGAAAGTCTAAAAAATATAAAGTGAACGAATTAATTAAACGTTTTTTTTGTTTGTTTCTATGGCTTCTTATTGTGGATTATTTATCTCTGCTTCATTAAATCTCAATACATTGTTTCAAGACATTGTTTCATTGCATCTCACTATTAAAACATTCTAACAATTGCAGTCATTTTTGACGGCACGGGCACACTAGTAATACTAATAGTAAACAGTTTCTTGGAAAACCTAAAGTAGTTCTTTATTAAGAAAGATGGTTCCGGTAGAATGGAATCGAGAAGTTTCCAGAAGTTTGGAAAAATTCGTAAATCAAAACGTCAAATATGTTATTTAATAAAGAAAAATTTAAAAAAAATTAAAAACTGAACAAATTTTTACTTGACTCAGAAATTTATAGACTTAATACTTTAGGGAATCAGAATTAAACTATCTTCAAGTGACCTTTAGGCATATTTGCAGTGAGCTATGAAATAATAAATGGAATTGAAAAAAATTATAAAAAAAAACGCGCCAACGAAGGGAATAATGTTTACCATTTATTTTTACATTATCTTAAATAGCGCACTCTATGAGGACTTTTAAGCTAGCTACCATGGAGGTGTGGCACCATTTACCAGGGCAAAAAGAAAAGAAAGGAAAAAGAGAAAGGAAAGAAAGGAAAAGAGAGGCGAGACTTAAGCGTAGATGATAAAAGAAACCACCCACGACCAGGGGCCTTGAGAATGTTATTTTGATAAGTAGCAAATGGCGAAAAGGTGTCATTACCATTG